GTGTGTGTCTGTAAGTGTGTGTCTGTTAGTGAGTGTGTGTGTGTCTGTTAGTGTTTGAGTGAGTGTGTGTGTCTGTTAGTGCATGAGTTTGTGTCTGTTAGTGTGTCTGTGTGTGTGTGTGTCTGTTAATGAGTGTGTGTGTGTCTGTTGGTGTGTGTGTCTGTTAGTGAGTGAGTGTGTGTTAGTGAGTGTGTGTCTGTTAGTGAGTGTGAGTGTGTCTGTTAGTGAGTGTGTCTGTTAGTGTGTGTGTCTGTTAGTGTGTGAGTGTGTCTGTTAGTGTGTGTGTGTTTCTGTTAGCTAGTGTATGCGTATCTGTCAGTGAATGTGTGTGTGTATTTAGAAGGCAGGGCGGGGGGAAGGGTTGGGTGGGGGTGGCACGGGGGGGGGGCACCTAAGTTTTGTCCTGCCTAGGGCAACACAAAACCAGGATATACCACTGCACACAGGGGCTCGGATGAAGTAAAAGAAACACAAGGGTCGCAGTAATAAACAAAAAGGAGACAATTGGAGACAAGATACACTAAATGAGGTAAACGTAATAGACGTGATTGATGTGATCCTGACAGTAATACACATATATATATATATGGATGTATATTGATGTGTGTATTAGTAACATGTATAATTATGCCTATAATATTTACACATATATTAATATACATTTATATATGCATAATACACATATAAATGTCATTAATATATACATATATGTAATGAGCACGTATTGGCTCAGTCTTGTTGCTAGTTGCATACTCATGCACAATAACATATTCAAAGTGAAAAGCGCACCCATAGGACTTCAAAAGGGTGTGGAGTGCTGTGTGTGTGTCTGAGGGGTGCTGTGTGTGTCTGTCTGAGGGGTGCTGTGTGCGGGGGGTAGGGGTTCTGTGTGTATGCGGGGTAGGGTTTCTGTGTGTGTGCGGGGTAGAGGTTATGTGTGTGTGCAGGGTAGGGGTGCTGTGTGTGCGCGGAATGGGTGCTGTGTGTGTGCGGGGAAGAGGTGCTGTGTGTGTGGAGAAGGGATGCTGTGTGTGGGGGAGAAGGGGTGCTGTGTGTGGGGGGAAGGGGTGCTGTGTGTGTGTGTGGGGGAAAGGGGTGCTGTGTGTGGGGTGGGTAGGGATTCTGTGTGGGGGGTGTGGGTGCCGTGGGGGTAGGGGTGCTGTGGGGGTAAGGGTGCTGTAGGGGTCGGGGTGCTGTGTGTGGGTGGTAGGTGTGCTGTGTGTGGGGGTAGGGGTGCTGTTGGGGGTAGGGGTGCTGTGCTGTGGGGGGTAGGGGTACAGATACATTTTTTTAAAAAAGGATATATTAATTCTGTATGCCCCCCCTCCCTCCCACCTTTGGTGAAGGAGGGGGGTGACACAGCCATCTCTGTGGCCCGGTGGTGGTGGTAAGTACTTTAAGGAGCAGCTCTCCTGTCGTCCTGCGTGATGCTGTGTGGAGCATTGCCATGGTAACGTGTGTCAACGCTCCACACAGCATCGCGCAGGAGAGCTGCTTCCTAGAGCCCTCCCCCTGTCCTCCCAACACGGAAGCAGAGTAGGCGTCTGCCGTTTTGGGCAGGCAGGTGCCTACTCTGCAGACAGCCAGCGGCCCCCTCTCCCGGCGACCTATGGCCGCGTGCCATAGGTTGGCCATCACTGCCCTATGCTATCTCTGGTCTAATAGACTTGTGTTTCACTATATAACTATTATCCTCTTACTTTACTTTTACCTATAGTTTCAGTAGTTCTCTAATTAATTGATACCAATTTCATATTAATCCTCTGATTTTTATTTATTTATATGCCTTTACATGTATCTATAGTTTCATTAGTTCTCTAATTGATACTAATTCCATATTAACCCTCTGATTTTTTATTTATACATATGCTTTTTTGTCATGTATATTATTATAATTATAACACATGTTCCAACATATACAGAATCAGGGTTACTGATCTATCTCTAAAAGATATATTTATCCATAGCATTATATGTAGTGATGTCCCGAACGGTTCGGCGAACATATGCGGTAAACTTCGACCCTGTACCTCACAGTCAGCAGACACATTCCGGCCAATCAGCAGCAGACCCCCCCTCCCAGGCCCTCCCACCTCCTGGACAGCTCACTAAGAATGCAGCTTCACAATAAATGTAAAATGGATGCTGTCCAGGAGGTGGGAGGGTCTGGGAGGGAGGGTCTGCTGCTGATTGGCTGGAATGTGTCTGCTGACTGTGAGGTACAGGGTCAAAGTTTACCGCATATGTTCGCCGTCCGTGGTGAACCATTCGGCGAACCGTTGGGGACATCACGAATTATATGTTTTTATTGTTATTTTTATTCAAATTGTATGATGAGTAAATTGTTCCACAGGAGTGAACCCTGCATGGGTTAATTTGGTGCCTCCCATTAAGGCAATTATCCCTCCCATTTAGGTATATAAGCTTCATTAGTGGAGAGGATCTGGAGTCTTGATAAAGTCTCAACTAAAAGACAAAACGCGTTGGCGTTCCTTTTCATGTGATCATCATCTACACGCTGCTACACTTGCCTTGCCGCTGCCTTTTTTGAAGATACAGGCCACGGCGTACCACGTGTTAACAGTTCGGTTGTACTCCCCTTTACGGCTAACATTGGAAGATTCTTCTATTCATCTAATCCACGGAACATTGTTTGACAACTGTGCCGTCTGACTCAGATATCCGGAGGTTGAGCTCGCTGGGCAGTATAAAGCTTCCAGCAACAATTCACAGCTAACCTTAATTACTACAGCTTCCATATTTGTGGAGGGGCCCCCCACAGATATACTTTTGTACACGATTGTACTCATTCTCCTATATATTGCTGCTTTAGGTGTATGGTTATAGAATTGCCCTGCCTTTCTTTTTAACTTACTTTTCAGGTCATTACTCTTTTATGCTATTCATTATTTAGCTAATATACCCCCGCATTTTATTCAATATGTTTCCCTTTTTTAAAGGTGTATTCCTATGCCTTTTTTGTGATGTTACAATTTTGATCTAGCTTCTGTTGTTGTTACACTCTATATCGTTACACCATATTGCTACATCCTGGTTCTAGTTGTTTTGATGGCATTAGGACATTGGATGTTGCTATTTATATCTGGGTATATACATTTTGTATCTTGTTTGTTTTTTGTGGCTTTTTCATTTTTACTTCGGATTGGTTACACCCTTTATTGTTACATTCTGGTCCTAGTTGCTTTCACAGCATTAGGACCTTGGATGTTTAGATCTGTATCTGTGGTTCAAGTGTTTTTATTTATTTTGAGCAGCAGTGTTTTTAGATACTGTATTAGATTACACTTTGTATCATTATACTTCACATTTTTTACTATACCAATAAATATTTTCCTGAACTATTACCTTATGGACATATTGTGTTACTAGGAGTGCTTGCACTTTATTTTTATATTTTACTCTTTGTATCTAAGTCGCTCATGTGTGGTATACAGCTGTCCATATATACAATTATTTTTAGTTTTATTTCTAGTATTCTTTGTTGTTGACCTATACATTTTTGTTCATAGCTCATCTATTTAAAAGTCTTTTATGCAGGCTTTGTTGCAGGCCCAGTTGTCGGTCCCTTCGGCCTCTCTGCCGGTCGTGATACGTCCTACCTCTCATCCCTCATGCCCAGGCCGCAAGGCCTCGGCTAAAACAAAGCACTACTCCAAATCTTTTATAATGGACAGTTTAAAACCTGTGAAAGATGGAGCGATGATAAAATCACAGCGCAAGAGATCCTTTAGCCGTGAAAAAGCGGCTAGACAGTGGAAATGGGCTAAACCCGAAATTGAGTCAGATCTCAGTACAGAAGAGGAGAGTGCTATTGACTCAGATTCGGGCCAATCTAATGATTTCTTCGACCCTGATTGCACAACAATGCTTTCCTATGGACGCTTGCGTGCTCTCACTGTGATTTTCATTTTTTTGGAGACCAGGAAACATGAAAACACTTTTTTTTTTTTTTCGTTGGAGTTAATCTTTTAAAGTAGTAGATACAACTTTCTAAAGTAAACATACTATGGGTTGGATTAAATTGAAAATGAAAATGAAACCTTTTTTTCATAAGGGCTGTGTGAGTCACAGCTAGGGTAGGTGTGGCTAGGGCTGCATATATAGAAAAAAATGATTTAACTCCTAAATGGCAGAAAGTTGAGCAGTGAGACTGCAACTGCATAATTTATACACTAAAACAGCTTCATTAAGTTACAGTTGTTTAGTTGCCTAGACTGCAGGCATAGGCAACCTTGGGCACTCCAGATGTTTTGCACTACACCTCCCATGATGCTTTGTCAGTATTATGGGTGTAAAAGCATTATGTAGTCCATAAAATCTGGAGTGCCGAAGGTTGCCTATCCCTGGCCTAGAGCGTCCCTTTAAATTTAAATTCAGTTTGAATCTTCAACAATTCTCACTTTAGTGTTTAATCCTGTTAGTTTCAGATGAGATAGTGATTGGAAAAAAAACTTCTCATAAATAGGTGGAGGTTGCTTTGCAAAAATATATGCAATGTGATCTCCACTGAATTTTGAAATCTTTACCTTTTTAAAATAGTTCACATTATGCAAACTAAATTGTTGCCAGCTTTCTCAAAGTGTTGTGAGTGTCATCTGTAAGGAAGCCTACCATCAGTACCCAAGTCAAACCTTACTGATCAGTGCTGCAGCTGGGAGGAGGACAATGGAGGCAGTGCACACAGGCTCCTATCATTTTAATGCATGTAGCATCTCTAACCAAATGATACTACAATAGAATGCAGACATAAGGGGTACATGTTATGTACACTTTAAAAGGAATATTAGCTGTGTAAACTGTAGCTGTTGCCACCTTGTGGATAAAATAAATAGAAAAGACTATAATGAATAGACATGTGCATTCGTTTTCGTACGAATAGGATTTCGTCTGAAAATTAATTTTTCTTCATATTTGTTTACTAAAACGTAAACGAAAGCCCTACAAATGAAATTTAATCGAAACCAAAGGGCAAATGCTGAATGCATTACCTTTTCGTTTTGTTTCGTTTGTTTAATAGACTCCGTGCTGCAGGGGAATTACCCCCACAGCACGGAGAAAATAACAGTGCACATGCGCAAAAAACCTCCCAAGGAGGGAGCCGGCAGCACTACCAGCTCCCTCCTTGTAATAAATATTAATTCCAACCACACACCCCCCCCGCATTAAAACCTATGGGGGGTCACTATGACCCCCCTATTAATAAATGGGAGGTTAAATCCTCCCACATGTCCCTACTCGCGGTATGCCGCAAGTAGGGGCATGTCGTCTAAACAGCAAACAGCCAGTGGCTGCTCGCTGTCATTTAACTAAATATAAATCAGTATGGGGATCACTATGACCCCCATATTGATAAAAGGGAGGTTAAATCCTCCTGCATGCCCCTACTCGCTGAATGCCACGAGTAGGGGCATGTTGTGTAAACAAATGTAAAACTACTAGTGACTATTACTACTAGCTATTGCGGCTGTGGCATACCGCGAGTAGGGGCATACGGGAGGATTTACCTCCCTTTTATTAAAGGACCACTCTAGGCACCCAGACCACTTCAGCTTAATGAAGTGGTCTGGGTGCCAGGTACCTCTAGGATTAACCCTTTTTTTATAAACATAGCAGTTTCACAGAAACTGCTATGTTTATACTGAGGGTTAATCCAGCCTCCAGAACCTCTAGTGGCTGTCTCATTGACAGCCGCTAGAGGCGCTTGCGTGCTTCTCACTGTGAAAATCACAGTGAGAGCACGCAAGCGTCCATAGGAAAGCATTGTAAATGCTTTCCTATGCGACCGGCTGAATGCGCGCGCGGCTCCTGCCGCGCATGCGCATTCAGCCGATGACGTCGCGAGCAAGGAGGAGAGGAGGAGTACAGCTCCCCGCCCGGAGCTGGAGAAAGGTAAGTGTTTAACCCCTTCCTCTCTCCAGAGCCCGGCGGGAGGGGGTCCCTGAGGGTGGGGGCACCCTCAGGGCACTATAGTGCCAGGAAAACGAGTATGTTTTCCTGGCACTATAGTGGTCCTTTAATATGGGGTTCAGAGTGACCCCCATAGGATTTAATGAAGGGGAAAGGGGGAGGGGGGGGAGGAATAGCTATTTATTAATTACAAGGCAGGAGCTGGTAGCGCTGCCTGCTCCCTCCTTGTTTTTGATTTTTGCACATGGGCAGTGCTGCTGTGTTTGATCTCTTCAAGTTACAGTAGTCAAGAGCAATCAATGCAATACAACTTTTGAACAGTTGAGAAATAAGTTAAAAGGTTACTCAAGCACCATGACCACCTTAGTGATTTGACGTGATAATGGTGCCTGGAGTCCATATGTGCCGTGTTTCAGTATGCGTTGATCCACTTTGCTGTAAAAAAGTTCCAGGCTGGCTAACTTAAATTCTGTGCGCATTTTCATGCACAGCGTGCCATTCATTAGCTGAGACAGGTCAGCTCAAGTGTCTACCGTTCAGCTCGGCCAGGGTACAGCGTTCTGCAGTGGTAATGATACTTGGAGTCACTCTTTTAACATGCATTTCTGGTAGTTTAACCCCTTAAGGACCAAACTTCTGGAATAAAAGGGAATCATGACATGTCAGACATGTCATGTGTCCTTAATGGGTTAAACAATTTGTACTTCATTTAGAGTGAAGGGGAAAAAATGCAAATACAAGAAACATATCTGTTATAATGGAGGCTCCTATAGACATATGGTGGCAAAACCTAGAACAAATCAGAAACTATGTAGAAATATACTGATCTAAACTCTCGAGCATTGTCAGAACCTTCAAAAGTGCATACAAGAAATGGAAATTGGCTCTTATTTCAACTGTGAGAACATGATTAGAGCACATAGCATTACATTACTGGATCTCTAGCACATTATGTTCCTTGCCAATGAATAACTACTACTATTCTACTGGTATTTGCCCTCTTTCTATTTGTTTCTTTCTACCTGTGACAATAGTCTAGTTCCTGGTCTTTTCTTTTTGTTGTTCTTTAGATAAAGGAGCCACATTCCGGATTTACTTCCATTTCCCTATAATATGCTTACAGCTGTTTACAGGTATGAAGTTTCCCCCTACTTAAATGTGTACGAATCAATGGCATTTTCTTCATTATCAAATATTCTATTCTATTCCTTGTGTGCAAAACCATGTTGTGCAAATATCATACGGGTCTATCTTTAAATGTGTATTGAAAGAAATATACAATTAGTAGCTATAAAGAGTAGTGCAATCAAGAGCAAGTCTTTATTGCTAAATTGTAAATGTTAAGTTTATTGAATAATAATTCACTTTACAGCTTTGGCAAAAAAAGGATAGGTTGACGTGCAAAAAGATCTTTCAAGTGAAGTTTACTATGGTCAGGGTTTTATAGCCATAGCAGTGTTTAATTGATTGCTTCCTTCTGTAGAAAGCAATCAAGTGAACTACAACTCCTATAAGCCTGAGCCATGATGGTGGTACCTAGAATGCCTCTTCAAAATTACCCTAGATAAGACAGAAATGCTTATACAAGGACACCACTTGAAGAAAACAAGACTATTTGAAGAGCATCAAAGCCTGCGTAGAATATGAAGGTTTACAATTATAGACTTGTAGAGTACTATAGCCTCCATGAAGGAATAACTTGATTTATTTTTCATCTTCATATTTAGTAAATCTCTCTTTACTACAAACCTCAAAAAATAGCAAATACAGGTATAAAAAAATAAAATTAACAAATTAGAAAATAACAGTGTATATAAGGCAGTCATACTCTTTCTCTTGTTTCGATGCAGAAGTCCAAAATAGTCCAAAGCAAAAGAGGTAAAATTCGGACACATCCAATCAGAACACCAAAAGGAACAGATGTTAAAACAGGGAATATCCCAAAGAAGAAGAAAAAACAACGACATCAAACTGAATGAAGAGAAGCACACTAGAGAGAATGTACAAGTAAAACCAGGTTAAAAAAAAATGCAGTAACCCATAATATCCAAATGAGACGAGGAGAGTACCACAGGCCAACCTACCTAAAAAGAAAAGGACAATGATACAACTGGGAAGGGCGGAGAGGGAAAAATATTTACCTCCTGTCAAATTATTCTTTCACATGGTCTACAATTTTAGGACTGGAGACTTCTTCTTTTGCTGTTTCAACGCCGAGCCAACGAGAAAAGTGAAGGATGTTGAATTTGCCAAAATAAAAATGTGAAACTCGTGCTGCAAATTTTTAAATATCTGCCAGGTGAATACAGAAAGCCAGCGAGCCATGAACTGAGTGGGCTCTGAAATCAGGGTCAACAACCAATGCTCACAGAAAGCAGGTAACCGAAGTGACATGCCACAAGCAAGAATAGAACAGGTTATGAGAAACATATGCCTTGGCGCAACCTACAGATCAAGAAATCCTAACCCACCGGAATACCCAAGACAGGAACGTGAATGCAGAAATAGCGGATTTAAAAATTTTCACCATGCGATAGAACCCTCAGAAAATACTCAGAATGGAAACTAGAGGATAAATGAAGGGATCGAGTCCCTTTCCCTAGCACCAGGTGTATCCATATGTCAGGAGCTCAAGAGTCCCAAAGGAGGGTCTTCGTGAGGTGAGATAGTCCAGCGGCATTCCAGGAACCCCAGACCATTTACTGTAGCCAGTCCAGCCTGACAACATCCCATAGGATCCAGGAACCATGGTTGGTGCCAGAGGTGTGATCAGCACAAGAGACACCTGAAGACATCGCAGGTGATGAAACAGAAACACATAAGCCCCAGTACAGGGCCAACCGTGTAAGAAAGTGTTAACCGCCTTGCATTCTGGGAAGCCAGTTGAAGAAACAAGTCTGTCTATACATCTGTGAGGGGAAAGGATCCAGACTGAGGGCACCCTCCCTGAGTTTCATCAGGAGGGAGAACACCGACAAGACAAGCTGTGAGGAACTGACTCTGCTGGGTTTCGAACCCTGGTTTACATGGTGCTAAACCTCTTCCTTACACCAGCCTGCCTTTTGCAAATTTACCTGAGATCTGATACCATTGCTTGTAGAGTCAAGGTTATCAGTGACAACTCTCTTCAGCTGTGTCTGGTCAGGTGTCTGGTTCTTGGCCTATAAAAGCCACTTCCTGTCTCTGTACCTTTGCCAGATTATTGTGGTTCCTGTACTCTCTAATCAAGCGTGTTCCTGTTTCTCCTTCCTGTTGCTGAATTTGGACTGTTTTGACTTTGCTGCTTCTCCTTCCCACTGACCTCGGCTTGCCTCACTACGATTATCATCTTTCTGTTCCAGTCTCCCATCTCTGCTTAAGACCAGAAGGCCACTCAAGGCTCAGGGGCTCAACCACCTGGGTAACGAGTGGCTACCTCTGGCAGAAAACATTGCTGATCTGGCTACTGGACTCCAAAACTTTGTAACATCAATATCATTACAGAATAATCTGGCCCATTCATGGAGACCGTCGGATCAGATTCTGCATTGGCCCAGCAGGTTGCTTTTAATGCAAGAACTATGCAGACCCAGGCACAGACCATTCAAGTGCTGCAGGATCAGGTAGCTGAACTGCAAAATGAAGTTCGATCAATGCATAGTGAGCTTACCAGCTACAGGGCACATGATGTTGCGGCTGCTGCTACTACTACTGTTACACCTGCACAAGATGCCCGCTTGCCTCTACCAGAAAAATTTGGAGGAGACCGCAAAAAATTCAGGGGTTTCCTAAATCAATGCCGTTTGCATTTCATGATGTTACCTAACCGTTTTCCATCTGAAAGAGAGAAGGTGGGATTTATTTTTTCCCTCTTCAAAGATGAAGCCCTGGCCTGGGGCTCACCTTTTCTGGAACAGGACAGTCCAGTCTTGGGAAATTTAAAAGACTTTCTTGAGGCCATGTGTCTAGTTTTTGATGATCCCAATCGCTGTGCTACAGCAGAAGCCACTCTCCTTCATTTACATCAAGGGAGGCGCTCTGTGGCTGAATATGCTGCTGAATTCAGACAGTGGGTTACTGATACTACTTGGAACCAATCAGCCCAGAGGTTCCACTTCAGAAGGGGTCTCTCAGAAGCTATAAAAGATGAGCTAGCTCGTGTTGATCTTCCTGTTGAGTTTGATGCATTTGTGCGGTTGGCTATCCGTATTGATCGGAGACTTTCAGAAAGAAGATTGGAAAGACAGGGCTCTTTTAAACCAAGTGCTACTCCTACTTTCTATTCAAGAATTTCTACTCCGACCCCACAAACACCTACAGACTCTGAACCTGAGGCTATGCAGGTAGATCTAATAAGAGGGCCATTATCCAATGAAGAAAAACAGTGGCGACGCACTCACAACTTATGCCTGTATTGTGGTAGTGCAGGGCATTATGCCATCAATTGCCCTAACAAGTCTAAAAGAACAATAGCTATGACTGCTGAGGGTGCACAGATTCAACACCAATCCCAGATTTCAGACCAACTGGATTCTGTCACACAACCCTTGTTTTCTCTGGCTCAGGGTGAAGAAGGTATGATGACTCAACATCCTCATTTGGTGGTGCCTATCACTTTGCAATATGGTGATAATAAAATTTCAACTACAGCTGTGATAGATTCCAGAGCAGGCGGAAACTTTATGGACATTAAATTTGCAGCAGGAAATAAAATTCAGTCTATCCCTAAATCTTCACCTGTGTTAATGGAAACAGTAGACGGTCAGGCCCGGTTACACATGAGACTGTGCCCTTAAAATTGATTCTGGAATTGAATCACCATGAGTCTATATCTTTCCACCTAATTTCCTCAACACAGTTTCCAGTGATTTTGGGTATACCCTGGCTTGCTCTGCATAACCCACAGATTGATTGGAAGACTAAAACTTTGTCCTTTCCTTCAGAACACTGCTTAATGAATTGTCAACCCTCTAAGGCGACACCTGTTACCACAACAATTAATGAAATGGTTGCTACAAACTTAACTAAGCTTCCGCTACAATATCGGGATTTTGCAGATGTCTGTGATAAGAAGAATGCTGATCAGCTTCCACCTCACAGGCCTTATGATTGCCCCATAGAGCTGCTACCTGGAGCTGCTATCCCATTTGGCCGTATATACTCCCTTTCTGAGCCTGAATTGAAAGCACTTCGTGAATACATACAAGAAAATCTTGCCAAAGGCTTTATTCGACCATCCACTTCTCCAGCAGGAGCTCCTATATTCTTTGTAGAAAAGAAAGATGGCAGTCTACGGCCATGTGTCGATTACAGGGACATTAATAAAATCACTGTTAAAAACCGTTATCCCTTGCCTCTCATTCCTGAACTTCTGGAGAGACTTCGTTCAGCTAAAATATTTACGAAGCTTGATCTACGGGGGGCATATAATCTGGTTCGCATAAGACCAAATGATGAATGGAAAACAGCTTTCAGAACCAGGTACGGACATTACGAATATCTAGTAATGCCATTTGGGCTTTGTAATGCCCCTGCAACTTTTCAGCATCTAATCAATGATGTACTACGGGATCTCCTGGATCAGTTTGTTGTGGCATATTTGGATGATATCCTGATATTTTCTGATAATCTTGAAAATCACAGAAAACAGGTCTGCATTGTTCTTGAGCGCCTTCGTACCCACCACCTATACATTAAACTGGAAAAATGTGAGTTTGAACAAACAGAAATTCAGTTCCTGGGGTATGTAATAACTCCTAAAGGTTTAAGTATGGACGCAAGTAAAATTAAAGCTGTGCTGGACTGGCCCATCCCCAAGAATGAAAAAGATATACAGAGATTTGTGGGGTTTGCCAATTTTTACAGGCGTTTCATTAAGAATTTCTCTGCCATTATTACACCGATCACTGAACTTACACGTAAAGGGACTCCCTTTCAGTGGTCCAATAAGGCTGACACTGCATTTTCCAGATTAAAGACTCTGTTTACATCTGCCCCTATCTTGATACATCCTCAGCCAGAATTGCCATTTACTGTAGAGGTAGATGCTTCTGATTCAGCTGTTGGGGCTATACTGTCTCAAAGGACTGGACCTAAGATGTTGTTACATCCATGTGCCTTCTATTCCCGCCAAATGTTACCAGCAGAAAGAAATTATGACATAGGGAATAAAGAACTTTTGGCTATAAAAGCTGCCTTCACCGAATGGAGACATCTCTTGGAGGGAGCCACCCATCCAATTACTGTCCTCACAGATCACAAAAATCTGGAATGTATCCAATCCGCTAAGAGACTGTCAGCCAGACAAGCACGCTGGTCCCTATTTTTCTCAAGGTTTAATTTTTTTATTTCATACCGCCCTGGTTCCAGAAATGGCAAGGCGGATGCCTTGTCTAGGATAGCTGACCCCCTCCATACTACAGTAACCAAGGCCACCATCTTGCCGGAGAGCAGATTTTTAGGAGTTACCTTTCCTTCTGATCTAATGTCTCGCATTAAAAAGGGCTACTCTAAAGATCCAGTTTTTCGTGATCCTCCTCGTGATCTTCATATGACCATGCTTAATGGGTTTTGGATTTTTCAACAACGTCTGTTTGTTCCAGAATCAGTGCGACTGGACGTTTTACGCCTCTACCATGACTCTAAACCAGCAGGTCATCCAGGAATCCGAAAGACACAAGAACTACTTACCCGATCCTTTTGGTGGCCTAAATATTATGAGGATGTTAAGAAGTATGTGTCCTCTTGTGATGTATGTGCCAGACATAAGACTCCTCGCTCATCCCCTGTTGGCTTGCTTCAGCCTCTTCCGATTCCTCATCGTCCCTGGGGATCTATATCCATGGACTTTATTGTGGAACTACCTCCCTCTAAGGAACACACTACCATTCTTGTTGTTGTGGACCGGTTAACCAAGATGAGTCATTTCATACCAGCTCGTGGTCTCCCTTCAGCTAAACAGACTGCTGACCTTGTTATTCGGGAAATATTTCGCTTGCATGGAGTGCCTGATGAAGTAATTTCTGACAGGGGAGTGCAGTTTACACCTCATTTTTGGAAATATTTTCTATAATATGTTCTATTCTAGGTATTAATGTAAATCTGTCTTCAGCTTTTCATCCACAAAGTAATGGACAGACTGAGCGAACCAACCATACTTTAGAACAATATTTGCGGTGCTATATTAGTTACCTGCAGGATGACTGGCTGGATTTTATACCCACGGCGGAGTTTGCCTATAACAATGCCCAACACTGCTCCACTTCTCTGAGCCCATTTTTTGCCAATTATGGTTACCATCTAACCTTTCTAGTGAGTCTACCAATTACTACTCCCATTCCTGCAGTCACTGACCGGCAAACCGCCTTAAGAGATTCCCAAGAACTGTTGAAGGAGACTCTTTCGGAGGCTCAGGAATGTTACAAAAGAGCTGCTGATAGGCACAGAAAGGAGGCCCCAGTTTATCATGTTGGTGACAAGGTTTGGCTGTCAACAAAGAATCTTAAGCTTAGGATTCCTTCTCATAAATTGGGTCAAAAGTTCATGGGACCTTTTAAGATAATCGCTCAGATCAATGCAGTCACCTTCCGTCTGCAACTTCCGGATTCCATGAAAATACATCCAGTGTTTCACGTGGCACTGCTTAAACCTTTTCATGAAAATACTTTCCCTGGTCGAGCCTTGCCTGCCCCACCACCAGTCCTCGTGGATGGTGAAGATGAATACGAGGTGGAAAAAATTCTTGACTCCAGAATCTTCCGCAACAAGCTTCAATATTTGGTTCATTGGAAAGGCTATGGTGAGGAGGATAGATCGTGGGAACCAGTGGACAATATTCATGCTCCTGATCTTCTTCAGTCTTTCCATGCACAGTACCCTGCTAAACCAGGAAATAGGGCATCCAGAGGCTGCGGCTGTAGAGGTGGAGGTAATGTGAGGAACTGACTCTGCTGGGTTTTGAACCCTGGTTTACATGGTGCTAAACCTCTTCCTTACCAGTACACCAGCCTGCCTTTTGCAAATTTACCTGAGATCTGATACCATTGCTTGTAGAGTCAAGGTTATCAGTGACAACTCTCTTCAGCTGTGTCTGGTCAGGTGTCTGGTTCTTGGCCTATAAAAGCCACTTCCTGTCTCTGTACCTTTGCCAGATTATTGTGGTTCCTGTACTCTCTAATCAAGCGTGTTCCTGTTTCTCCTTCCTGTTGCTGAATTTGGACTGTTTTGACTTTGCTGCTTCTCCTTCCCACTGACCTCGGCTTGCCTCACTACGATTATCATCTTTCTGTTCCAGTCTCCCATCTCTGCTTAAGACCAGAAGGCCACTCAAGGCTCAGGGGCTCAACCACCTGGGTAACGAGTGGCTACCTCTCGCAGAAAACATTGCTGATCTGGCTACTGGACTCCAAAACTTTGTAACATTAATATCATTACACAAGCATTCAATTGCTGGCATCCCGCCAGTGGTAAAAGAACCAGATTGCTGTGATGTTCTCAACGGCTAGGTACTCTGCCATTAGTTAATGTTACTCTGCAGGCAAAACCTATACAGATCCTTTATGAGATGAAATTGACAATAAGAGCAAGCACCGTCAAGCCAGTTGACATATCTCTGACCGAGACATTGTCCATCCTCAGGAATGCAGCAGTGATGAGGTGTCCCTTCCCAAGCTGCAAATTGCAAAGTAGCCCACTATCAATTCCAGACAGTTTATGTGTAATTAAGATTAGTCCTTATACCAAACTCCACTGGTGGACTAGCTGGTCGAGGATGTACCCTTAACATGATTCCAGGTGCACATCAAAAAATGTGAAAGCTCCTTCTGGACCAACTTGATCTTGGAGAGAAGCAGCCTAAGCATAAAATGAACAGCACCAATCTTGCACCCAAGGAACTGAACCACCTTGGATAGAATCAAGGCCGACTTCATTAACAACAAAGCCTAAGTCCTTCAGAAGGCTGACCACCAGCCAAATCTGTTCTATTAGCAAGGATGATTTAAATGAAAAGAGAAGGATGTTGTCCAGATAAATTATTGAACGCATCCCCTGAGCACGAAATTGAGCCACAGCTAGTTTTAAAAGCTTGTTGAAGCACCAAATAACAGAACTCAGACCAAAAGAAAGGTACGTGAATTGTGAAACGCACCTGCTCCACTAGAAGCAAAATAACCTCAAATAACCCTGATGAATCTGAAATCTCCCATCTTTTTCTTGATCAGAAAGAGATTGCTCAAAACCCTGTTGGCATCCGGAGCTATCTCAATAGAGTGCTTCTCCAGAAGATTCTCCACCTTGTTTTTTGATTAGAGACATCCACAGACGGTTGGCCAGAAAAGGGTGCAGAGGCATGACCTGAAAGGGAAGCTGAGAAAACTATCACATATCCTTTAACAGTTTGCAAGACACAAGTTTGCCCACTTTTGAGGGGGAGGTAGAATGGGTGATGAAGAAAAAGGACCCAGAGAGAGCATGGCTCAACAATTGTCTCTATTACCACAAACCCTGCCTGAGCCCTGTAAATACTGGAAACTGGCTCTGGATTAGATAGTCTGGATAGAAGAGAAGAATCTGGTGAGCACCTATGGCATTGAAGGACTAAAACAGCTGGAGGCTTGCCCCCACTGCCTTCAAGCCCCAAGCTAAAAATCTTTCTGTTGGATGGAACACCTTTATCAGTGGCTTGAACTTTATTCAAGGACATGTACAAGGAAACTCTGAGCACCCGGGCCAAGTCCTTCATTTCCCAATTCACCCAGCTCTTTGTCCAAGCATACCAGTACTCAGAGGAGAAGGCTACATTTTTAGTTTCCCTAGAAGGCAAATGGAGCATTGCAGCCACTCGCTGACAATTTGGGAATCCAGTGATATGCTAGAAGAGTACTCTATCAGCCACATGTAGCATTTTATCTTGTACCGTCTTTAAGCCTTTTAAAATTTCCTTACAGGGAATCTCTGTAGCTCTTGGTCATAAAGCTGGTCAAAATTTGGCATTTGGGCAGTTTATCAGGAACAGAAGACTATGGATATTTAAAATGCAGCCAGTTATAGACCTAATTGTCCAAACACAGGCACACAACCTCTGCAAAATGATCTGGCAGGAATAACTCAGCAGATCTTGGATTAAAGATGGTGCGCAACTCAAACATAGGAGTCCTGTATGACCTCAGAGTTAAAAGTTGGAGCATGGTTTGGAATTGCCAGCAGCAGAGGTATGGAGGGGGTTTACCTACTACAGTCTTGTGCACAACGTGAGTGTCCAGTGTATAAACATCATCAGAGTGAAGAGTCAGTTTCCTTGGCTAAGGAATATAACATGGCCCCATTGAGCTTGGGCAGAGTCAGACCAGCAACTTTTCGCCCTAGACATGCCCTTAACATGGGGCTTAGAGTGTTTCTGTGCGTTATGGTCACACAATTTTGAGTCACGGGACCAACCTGAATCAGAAATATACACAGCCATAATGGCTATAAGGAGAAAAATTAATAAAACAATCTGGAGGCAGGAGCAGCAAAGAAAGAGGATGTGAGCTAAAAGGGGCTGCCTTATACACCCTGTTCCAAATTATTATGCAAATTCTATTTGTGTCACAAAGATTAAATATTTTGTTTTTCAGTTTAACTCATAGATGGCATTGTGTCTCAGGGCTCTTTTGATCACTGAAAACAATCTCGGACACCTGTGATAATTAGATTGCCAGGTGAGCACAATTTAAGAAAAAACTACTAAAGGAGGGTGTTCCACATTATTAAGCAAAACATAATTTTCATGCTATATGGGGAAGAAAAAGGATCTCTCTACTGCCCAAAAGAGTGAAATAGTTCAATGCCTAGAACGAGGTATGAAAACATTAGATATTTCACGAAAACTTAAGCGTGATCATCGCACTATTAAGAGATTTGTGGCTGACTCAAAGCACAGACGGGTTCGTGCAGATAAAGGCACGTTGAGGAAGATTTCTGCCTGCTCCATGCATCGGATCAAGAGGTGTAAAGATGACCTCTGCAAAGTATGTGGAGTTTCTGACTGACCACTTTCTTCCCTGGTACAGAAGGAAGAACTATGCTTTCCGTAATAAAATCATCTTCATGCATGACAATGCACCATCTCATGCTGCAAAGAATACCTCTGCATCAATGGCTGCTATGGGGATAAAAGGACAGAAAGTCATGGTGTGGCCTCCATCCTCCCCTGACCTCAATCCTATTGAGAACCTTTGGAGAATCCTCAAGCAAAAGATCTATGAGGATGGGAGGCAGTTTACATTCAAACAGCAGCTCTGGGAGGCTATTCTGACATCTTGCAAACAAATTCAAGCAGAAACTGTCCAAAAACTCACAAGTTCAATGGATGCAAGACTTGTGAAGCTGCTATTAAATAAAGGGTCCTATGTTAAAATGAAACGTGACCTGTTAAAAATTTTAAAAAGTTAAAATGTTGTTATAAGTTTGATTGAAATAGCTTTTGATTTCAGTAAATATGCTGCAAACACAACAAATGACAATTTTCAGTTCTTTACAACCTATAAAGTGTTTCGAAACTTACTGTGCGTAATAATTTGGAACAGTGCATTGTAAGTTTTTTATGTTTAAAGAAAATACTGTTATCATTAGGCGGTTTGTTCAATAAAATTTGAATTGTACTCTTAATAGTTGATAACATGAGAATTATGCTGACTGTTATTTACATCAATTATTTAGGTAAATGAGAAAAATATCATTTTCATAATAATTTGGAACAGGGTGTATACATTGTTTTTGGATTGGTTATTTATATTTTTGCTGAGGTTTGCAGTAACTAATGATTAGCAAAATATTAAGATTCATTTCATGTCATTATGACATCTATGATCAAATGTTTTTTTTATCAAAAACATAGCTCAGATTTAAATACCTGATTCCTTTAAAAGAACTTAAAACATTTATATAGAAAAAGTTACTCAGGATTCTTGATTTCAGTGTATCTATTTTAAAACAAATCTGCATCATTGTCCAAAGTTTCTGCAAAAGGAAGAATACATTATCAAGTTTTGTTTGCGTTAATTTATTTTTGTGTAAATCATTTTATTGAGTTTTCTGAGATAGAACAGGTATGTAGGGAGGAGGTGTTGCTTGTGATATGTGTATCCTTAATCAGGTAATGGGTGTGCCGATATAGGTCTCGGTATATGCCTTGCAGATCTTTTCCCAGAATATTAATTTTTAGGACTGCTATGCGTCCAAGCCATGAAATATGTGGGTACGCCCACCGTTTAAGATCCTCCAGCACAATCCGTAGTAAGGGGTTGAAGTTCACTTGATAGAGGTCGGTCAGGTCCTTCGTCACCCAGATCCCCAGATATTTCATCTTGTCTGTACACCAGTGAAACGGAAAGTTGGGTTTCAGGTTATTATATTCTTCTGTAGGAATAGTGACATTGAGCACTTCGCTTTTTCGAGAGGTTTAGCTTAGGGTCTGAAATGCTGCCATAAATCTCAAACTCCCTCATGAGGCATGGTAGTGTGATCCGTTGGTTGGTAACAAAAAAGAGTAGGTCGTCCGCGTACGCTGTGGCTTTATGCTCTATAGTCTTGTCTCAGAATCCTGTGATGTCTCTGCAACTACAAACTGCTATAAGAAAGGGTTCAAGTGAAATGGCGAACAGCAGAGGTGATGGGGGTGCCATGAAAGATCTCAAAGTGGTCTGTGAGAGCCCCATTTACCCGCACCCTAGCATTGGGGTTGTTATAGACGACCGATATCCAGGCCCTCAGTTTGTCTCCAAACCCCATGGACTCTAGGGTTGCGAACATAAATGCCCAATTTACACGGTCTGTTGACAGGAGAAGGAGGTGCCTGGAACTTTGGCGTGCCAGGTGTTGCGAACAGGCAGAGAGTACTGTCTCTGGCTTCCCTTCCTGGTATGAAGCCTGTTTGGTCTGGATGGATAAGGTTGGGCACACACTTTAGCATCCTGGTGGCCAGGACCTTACTGAACAACTTGATGTCCACAGTTAAGAGTGATATCGGCTGGTAACTCCCGCATGATGTGGGGTCTTTGTCAGATTTCAGCATGACTGTGATAGTAGCAGCTAGGGACTCTTTATAAAAGGCCCCTCCTTCTGTTAATGTGTTTAGTGGTTGTGTTAGTTTAGGTATTAGGAAGGTAAAAAACATTTTATAATACCCCAGGGAGAAGCCATCTGGGCCCGGTGTTTTCCCCGTTTTAGCTGTTTTGATTGTGGACATCAGTTCAGTTTCATTAATAGGGTTATCCAACATTACCGCTGTAGCATGGGGTATCGTTTTCGGTTTGTGCTCATTCCGATAGGTCTGGATTTGTGTTTGTCGTGTAGTCTCCGTTACGTGGGATCGTGTTTTAGAGGTACGGTATAGTGTAGAGTAGAAATTCCCTCGCTATATCCCTTGGAAATGGGGAAACCCTCCCCGAGGACAGTTTGAGCTTGTGGATCTGTGTATATTGGGTGTGTACACTTCGAAAATGTTTGCACAACAGAATATCTGTCAGCTGCCTCCTAGCTCCCAGAAGTTCCGTGTAAACAGAAGCTAACTTTGATCGTTTATGTTGTAGTTCAAGACTGGATATCTGAGTTCTGAGGTCCGATAATTTTCTGACTGCCTCTTTCTTTTTCCTTGTCACTTGGCCTATGAAGAAGTCCCTGATGATGCTTTTGTGAGCTTCCCACTGTGTGAGCGGTGACATGTCTCTAGCATCGTTCTCTTCGTAGTATAGGGTTAAAGCTCTCTTCCTTGATGGGTAAGTCAAATAGTAGAGATTCGTTGAGGTGCCACGTCCAACCCGCGGGTTTGGCCAATGGGGATTAGATACTGACCTGCAGCGGTGCAAGGTCCGACCGAGTTATCCTAATTGTCGACTTAAAGGACCACTCTAGGCACCCAGACCACTTCAGCTTAATGAAGTGGTCTGGGTGCCAGGTCCTTCTAGGGTTAACCCATTTTTTCATAATTATAGCAGTTTCAGAGAAACTGCTATAATTATGAATGGGTTAAGCCTTCCCCCTAATCCTCTAGTGGCTGTCTCATTGACAGCCACTAGAGGCGCTTGCGTGCTTCTCACTGTGAAAATCACAGTGAGAGCACGCCAGTGTCCATAGGAAAGCATTGTAAATGCTTTCCTATGAGACCGGCTGAATGCGCGCGCAGCTCTTGCCGCGCGTGCGCATTCAGCCGGCGGGGCGTAACGGAGGCGGAGAGGAGGAGGAGAGCTCTCCGCCCAGCGCTGGAAAAAGGTAAGTTTTTACCCCTTTCCCCCTTCCAGAGCCGGGCGGGAGGGGGTGCCTGAGGGTGGGGGCACCCTCAGGGCACTATAGTGGTCCTTTAAGTAGGTGATTGAGATTCTTCTGTTGTAGAAAGATAGTCTATACGAGTGTGACAGGTGTGTAATGAGTATAGTCCCTGTCAGATGGGTGACATGCAGTCCACCAACCGTCGGTCCCTCATTGCCAGGCATTTGTTCTGGATTTGTGTTTGAGGGATTCAACTGTGTCCGGTAGAGGAGTCTAGGACGGGGTCATGTGGTATGTTGAGGTCTACCCCCGGGATTAGATATCCTGCTTTGAAGGGTTTCAACTTATTCAGTGTTTTGCGCAGGAATTGCCTTTGGCCATGATTGGGTGCGTAGATAATGGCTAGTGTGTACATCTTTTTGGCAATCTTCCCCTTGACGAAGAAGTACCTGCCTTCTGGGTCTCTGCAGCTGTCCATCTCTTGAAATTGCAGTGAGGCTTCCAGTAGAATGGATACCCCTGCCCGGCTTGAAGTGAGATTGTTACTGAAATAGCTATTTGGGTAGTATCTGTTCTTGAGCGGGGGAGCTGCTCCCTCTCGGAAGTGCATTTCCTGGCAATGGATATGTGTTGTGCACGAAAGTCCCTCATATGAGATCCGCGCTCTGGGGTGTTTAGCCCTCTGTAGATAAGCGAGAGAACGGGGAGTGACGCTGCTCGGTAAGCCATGTGGGCTAGTGGGGAGGTGATCATGTGAGGAAGAAGGGAAAGGAGGAAAAGAAAAAAAAAAGGGGGGGGGTATAGAAACATAGAATGTGACGGCAGATAAGAACCATTTGGCCCATCTAGTCTGCCCAATTTTCTAAATACTTTCATTAGTCCCTGGCCTTATCTTATAGTTAGGATAGCCTTATGCCTATCCCACGCATGCTTAAACTCCTTTACTGTGTTAACCTCTACCACTTCAGCTGGAAGGCTATTCCATGCATCCACTACCCTCTCAGTAAAGTAATACTTCCTGATATTATTTTTAAACCTTTGTCCCTCTAATTTAAGACTATGTCCTCTTGTTGTGGTAGTTTTTCTTCTTTTAAATATAGTCTCCTCCTTTACTGTGTTGATTCCCTTTATATATTTAAATGTTTCTATCATATCCCCCCTGTCTCGTCTTTCCTCCAAGCTATACATGTTAAGATCCTTTAACCTTTCCTGGTAAGTTTTATCCCGCAATCCATGAACCAGTTTAGTAGCCCTTCTCTGAACCCTCTCTAAGGTATCAATATCCTTCTGAAGATACGGTCTCCAGTACTGTGTACAATACTCCAAGTGAGGTCTCACCAGTGTTCTGTACAATGGCATGAGCACTTCCCTCTTTCTACTGCTAATACCTCTCCCTATACAACCAAGCATTCTGCTAGCATTTCCTGCTGCTCTATTACATTGTCTGCCTACTTTTAAGTCATCAGAAATAATCACCCCTAAATCCCTTTCCTCATATGTTGAGGTTAGAACTCTATCAAATATTCTGTACTGGGGGTGGGGGAAAGGAGGGTGGAGGAAGAGAAGTAAGAAAGGTAAGTATTGAGTGGTGGGGGATTTGAGAGATGCCCCCTTATATCCCCACACGGGGTGTGGTTAACTCGTGTGGTAACAGAGGCTGTTGGTTCCTCATGTGGAACTTTTTTATGGGCATCTAGGGTCCCAACACCTCACTACCCTTCAGCTACACGAGTGTGCCCAGGTAACGTAACTCCAACCCAGCACAAAAGGTAAGGTTCTGTGTCAAATAGCCCCCTACCGTGTTTCTCCGAAAAGAAGACCGGGTCTTATATTAATTTTAGTCACAAAAAACACACTAGGGCTTATTTTCAGGGTAGGGCTTATTTATTTACGGTACCGGTATGTACATTGAACAACATTTAAACAACTTTTCTTCAAATACCAGTACAGTCAATTTCATTTTCCTTTGAACCATTGGTCCTAATCTCTCATTTACAGCAATATATGGTACAGTAGCTCTCCCTACCGTAAACATTTATTCAATTACAATCATGTCATCTTCTTCTGGAATATCATCATAACTCTCCAAACCCTGATTGCCAGCCTGAATTTCTTGCATCTCCATTTCCTTTTGAACCATTGGGCCTAATCTCTCATGTAAAGCAATATAGCTCTCCTTAAACGAGTACTTCTTGTCCATGTAGCCTGCTCGTAGTGCTTTGGCAACACAGCTGTCAGTGATTTTATTCCATGAATTCTTCACCCATGTCACGACCTCTAGCAGTTTAGGCTTCACAAAGTTTCCACGCTGATTTCTGACCAATCTATTTTCAGTGTATTCATTGATTTCCGTGCGCAAATGGTCCTTGAGTGGTTTGTTTATTGCAATATCAAGAGTTTGGAGATAAACAGTCATTCCTGCGGGAATCATTACTTGCTCTATTCTTCTCTCTGCAAGGAAGTTCTTCATGTCTTTTGCGTGGTGAGTGCTGGCTGAATCCCAGACTAGCAGACCTCTTTGGCCACAAGTGGCAGCATTAAATCGATCCACTTTCTTATAACTGCTTGTGTGCACCAGGCTTTTTCTGTTTCAAGAACGTAAATGCCTGAAATGCGTTCAATCTTATCTTTCTTGCCCTTTGCGATAATTAGAGGTGTGGCTTTTGTTCCATCCAGACGAATTGCCAAAACACAAGTAACACGTGCACTTTCATAACTAGTGGAGGGAAAGTAGATTGAGGAGGCTCCCCTCTGATTAATTGTCGTTTGAGATCCTTGGCCCATATACACTGAAGTTTCATCCATCGCAATCATGTTGGAGAGTTGGTATTTAGAAAAGTCTATGCCGTCAATAAAGAACTTGAATGCAAGTGCACGTTTAATAACTTCATTATCTTCCAGCTTGAACAGTGTTGTCGATCTTCTTAGAGACAGTTCATATCGCTTAAGGAAGCCATCCAGCCAGTGGTGTGATGCTTTGAAATCTTCTGTGGATATGTCGAATTCTGGTGCTATTTCAAGGGCAAATGCTTGAATATCAGCCCTGCGCACAACCAAAGCCTTTGCTCTCTTGTCAGCAATCCATTCACAGATGACATCTTCCAGCTCAAGATATAATGGCGGTCGACCTGATCCACACTTGCGCTTCTTAGCATTTCCCTCGTCCACCTTTTGACTGAGGTTACCATACTCTGCTCGCCATTTTCGGACCATTCGGAGATCTAACTTCATCTCTTTGCAGAAAGTGGTCAGATTCTTGCCGTGGGAGTCCTCCATGATTCCTTTCTTGTACTCGACAGAATAGCTCTTTCTCTTTGCACTCATCTTGTCTGGGGATCAAAATACCGTACTGTCTAATAAATCCACCCCCCTCTTTAATTAATTCACCACCCCTTTAATTAATCCAGCCCACCCTTTAATTCACCCCCCTCTAATCCAGCCCACCCTTTAATTCACCCCCCTCTAATCCAGCCCACCCTTTAATTAATTCACCCCCCTCTAATCCAGCCCACCCTTTAATTAATTCACCCCCCTCTAATTAATGCAGCCCACCCTTTAATTAATTCACCCCCCTAATTAATCAAGCCCACCCTTTAATTAATCCACCCCCCTCTAATTAATCCAGCCCACCCTTTAATTCAGTCCCAGACATAAAATATCTACCAGTACTCACATTTCAAAGATTCCTTGCTGAGTCCGACCACTGGGTGCCTCACCGCCTGGAAATGGATCCTTCCGCTGAAGATGCGTGAAGGCAGACTGACGGCGCTGCGAAAGGTCATCATGTTGCGCGATGCTGTGGCCCGCAACGCTCCTCCTACGGTAGAAGGAAGTCTCGCCGCAAAGGTGCAATGCCTAGGTCTTATTTTCGGGGTAGGGCTTATATTGCAGCCCACCCCGATAATCCAACTAGGGATTATTTTCAGGGAAACACGGTAGCTCCTTTTGCAAGCCCTGCATTGGAAACTGGTTAGTCCGCAGAGTCCGGGATGTGGTCTCATCTCTTTAACAGTAAGTTAGTATGTGTTTGATAACTAAAGTGGAATGTTTGATGAACTATGTAACAGGTGGGTTGTGGGTAAATTTCTAACGCACCATGTGATAAGACCCCATCTCCTGGTTTTCCTCTCCATATCAGTCTATTTACCCAATCAATTTATCCTCCCCCCTCCCTTATTTGACTGAATGTGCAATAAGGCAGTTGAACATTTGGTGCTGAAGGGCTTTCCACATCGCTTTTATTCTTTAGATCTCTCCCTACTACACAGATAGGTACAATGTATTTATATAATTGGATGATTTGTCTGATTTAATACAGTTCATTTCCCTAACCACTCAACCTTCCACCCATAACATACTCCTAAATTAAACCCCCACCCCTTGAAAACAAATAATCCATGTGAGATTTTATATAAAAAAGTTAAAAAAAAACAAAAAAAAAAATTTCCTTTGACTTTCAGCTATAGAAGGAACAAATATTTTTAACTTTGTATAAAAATTTATTAGACTAGACAATATTTGCTCACTGAGGAAGCATATACATACCCCAAATATTTTAAAAGTTTGCTATGGCATACACAAGCGGGGAATAATGGCTATGGCTGTATGGACAGAAACAAAAGAGACTTCACTAATGACACAATTGAATAGCGAGACTGCACGGGCATGTTATATACACTAACAGTTTTATTAATCTAAGGTTGTTTTGGTGCCTTCAGACTTGGGTCACATTCATACTACATTTCCTAAATGCCTAGGTCTCCTGAAGTCCATGAGGTGTAATTTAGACATTGACCACATACATAGCCTATAAAAGGAGTCTTGCCTGACATTTAAAGTTCTGGAGTTCAGTCTCAACTGCTAACCATACAGGTTAATTCAGTAATTGAATATGAAGAGAAAAAAATAAAATAAAAAAAAACCACTGGAGAGGCTGCCTTTAACCCCACACAAGGTGCCCAGCAGCAATATTCAGGCTCAATATAGTGCTTGTCAAGATTAAGAAAAATCTGCACTTTCAAAAAACAAAAAGGGAGGTGTTTCCTGCCTCCATCTATACAAACTGTAGTTCAAAGAAGAAGTGAGCAATAATTATTTATACACAAACACACAGGGTGGAACAAATCAGAGTGGGGTTTGAGGAGTCAACTTTATTAATGAATCATTTTCAAAAGATATTACATACACTGAATGCTTAACCAAGTAAGACAACATTTTAAATGAGCTCCATCTGCTGCATCGCAAAGTCAGGCATTTTCAATTACATTGTCCATAACATTACTTCATGTGTGAGGCTCTAGTGCTCAATGTCGAACATAAAATTTTCAGTTTGCGAACGATGAGCAGAGCTGCAGACCATGTGTCTCGCGAGAATTGGCCAATCAGAGCATTGCCGCGGGTTACCACGGCAACGCTCTGATGGTCTCGCAATATTACACAGTCTGCAGCTCGTGGCCACTGGACCACCAGGGAACAGAAGGTAGGCTTCCCCCACCCCCACCACCTCAGCTAAGCTGGAAGAGGATGGTGCGTCAAGGTTCCGAACAGAAGCTGTAGAAGATTGGGTGTCCTGTATTAGCCAGTCAACTATGTCCTCAGAACTTCGAGTTCAGGGTACGTGGCCTCTGGGCATTATTCTAGGGCCAAAGGGAATCACAGCACCACGACAGCCCCTGCGGGGTGGCCTGCCTCTGCCTGTCTTTTTCCGATTAGTGGTACTATGCGTGCAAGCTACTGTGACAGATATGAGTGGCACAAGTTGGCAGAGTAGACGCTGTAGGCCTGACACATGCTTGCAGACAACTGCTATTCAATCTACTACAGTCAAAATTGTATTTTTTTTTTTTTTAAATATACACTGTTACACCAGATATGGTGCACTGGTGTGACACTGCCCTGGCAGGACCTGAAATGCACACGCGTGAAGGAAACTGACTGCTATTATATTACAGTCCAAAAAGTTTTTTTTTTTTTTTTTTTAAATGCAAGCTATTGGGACACCCAGAGGCGGCTCTAGACTTTATGAAGCCTTAAGCGAAACTCAAACATGAGGTCCTACTAACAAAAGAGTGTCACATATACACATTGATGCAGTTTACCTGTGTATGTGCTTGACAGTATCCTTGTGTGTGAATGTGTGTCTGAGCATGTTTGCTTTTTTGTCGGAGACCCTAGGTGTATGGGGTAGCAAGTTTGAGGGTGGTGGTGTGCATGGGGTAGCAAGGCTGAGGGTGGTGGTGTGCATGGGGTAGCAAGGCTGAGGGTGGTGGTGTGCATGGGGTAGCAAGGCTGAGGGTGGTGGTGTGCATGGGGTAGCAAGGCTGAGGGTGGTGGTGTGCATGGGGTAGCAAAGCTGAGGGTGGTGTGTGGGTAGTGAGGCCAGAGAGATCAGATGAGTCCTTCAGGACTGTAGTGGACACTGAATACACTAGCCTAGCTATCAATTTCCCTATCAAATTAACAGCAGCTACACAATGAATGTAAGATGGATGCTGTCCAGGAGGTGGGAGGGTCTGCTGCTGATTGGCTGGAATGTGTCTGCTAACTGAGGTACAGGGTCAAAGTTTACTCAATGATGACGAATAGGGGCGGACCGAACAGCGCATATGTTCGCCCTCTGTGGTGAACAACCGATGTTCGCCAGCGAACCGGTCGGGACATCACTAGTGCTCAAGTTTCTGCACAGTTATTCTCCTTGCGCTGTTTGGGATATCTGAAGAAGCGGGTGTACATTAACAAACCAAAGGATGCTGAAAGGTTGGGCAAATGTGAAAGTCAATTAATCTGTGAACAGTTGTCATAGTAGGTCCATTGTGGCCCTGGCTGTATGAGCAGTAGCACCATTCTGCTGAAACCCCATTTCAGGCCGATTTTCTCTGTAGCGTCAAAATAATGGATCTCTATGTTCCAACATGAAACTACATAGGCTGAATCTTCCAAGACTTATAAGCATCTGCAAAAAAAATAAAAAAATATAAAAAAAAAAAAAATGTTCTTTACTGATCAAACCCTACTCTGAATTTTAGCCATGCATGTATACATTCACACGATAGAGAGAAAAAAAAAAAAAAAACACACAAAAAACTGTCCCTCTCTCTGCGAACCGGAGCAGTCACTATGAGACCAGCTAAGGCTGTCTGGGGAGATTTTCTCTGGCACACATGGCAAAACAACCCCAGTACGGAGAAAAAGGGGAAGCTAAAAGTCACAATGTGCATAGTATTGTACTTGTTATACTGTGAGAGACCATGTTGATCACATTAAGAGCTTTACATTTACATATCACTTGAGGGAACGGCAGTTGCAATTGAAGGTTGCTTTAGTGAATATGAATTATGGACTGGTGGGAAATTCATTGTACGTAAAGGACAAGATAATTGCACTAAAAGCACAATGTTTGTATTGATGCAAATTACAGTAATTACCAGGAGACCAGCTCAGGTGGTCTTAGAAGAATATCTGACATGGAAGAACAGAGCTGATCAGAAATAGTGTAAAAATATATACAGATACTTACTAGGAGTCAGACTTTCTTTCTGATGCTGAATGGGAAAGGAAAAACATGCATTTTAGAGTACTCAATTTAAAATGACCACACCACCTCAACAATTTGAAATTAAACAAAATAATGTTTAAATAAACCCACCATGGCTACAGGAATCTAATGTAGTTCTCCAGTATACATTTTACATAAAAATGTGTTGTGCATGCACTAGGTATTTTACATGAACCAACATTTCAATGTCCCTCTCCATGCAAACCAGAACAGTCACCATCACACCAGCTCAGGCTCTCTGAAGAGAGTTTCTCTGGCATACATGGCAGGACCATCCAGTATTGTGAAACAGGGAGAGCTGATAGTCACAGGGTGCGGAAAATGTACAGACATGTACATACTGTAGAATGAGATCATATTCATGTCATGAGAGATGTTTTACAGTTAATCTTCGTTGTGATTTGCCATGCTCAGGAGGGATAAAATCCACATCTGGTTACTGCCAACTAAAAGAAACATGGGGAATCTGTTCATAGGTCAACTTAATTTTGAACACTGCAGCTGTAAGTTATGACAGACGAGTAGATAGATATTTAAAGGACCACTATAGTGCCAGGAAAACAAGCTCGTTTTCCTGGCACTAGTGTGCCCTGAGGGTCCCCCTTCTGTGGCGCTGAAGGGGTTAATCCTTTTTCCGGCGCCGGGACTCTCCTCCCTCTTCTGACGTCACCGGCTGAAAGCTCATGCATGGCAAGAGCCGCGTGCATTCAGCCAGACTCATAGGAAAGCATACTCACTGAAAAAAATCAGTGAGAAGCACCTCTAGCGGCTGTCAATGAGAGCCACTAGAGGCTGGATTAACCAATATGTAAACATGGTTTCTCTGAAACTGTTTACAGCAAAGAGGGTTAAACCTAGCTGGACCTAGCACCCAGACCACTTCATTAAGCTGAAGTGGTCTGGGTGCCTATAGTGGTCCTTTAACCAGATTTTATTTTGTTATCAGATTGTTCCTTTACTATAAGGATACTACCATTGTTACATATATAGTGTACTATAATATTTTGTACTTTATGTAACATGTAGTTAATCTGGCTGATTGAATTTTGGTTGGCAAATTCTTACTTGTTTATAACAAATGGCTAGCCTGCTCATTCCTTCACTCCCAGCTGTAAATTACTTTCAAGTAACCCTTTTATCTTTTCCTTAGTGCCAAATCACCATACTCCCTGCTACAAAGCCTTTTTATTTTACTCAGTTCATCCCACCCACCCTGGTTCCTTTTAACTATATAGCATGCTCTTCCAGCTGTTTGGAACCACAGCCAATCACTTCCTCCTTCCCTTCATGTTATCAGCTACTGCAGTTATACTATTAACTCTGTGCCATCACATACAAATCCCTCTGCTACCTCTTGTCTCATCTCCCCAGTTTAACCTCTAGATTGTAAGTTCATAGGCAGGGCCCTCTACCTGTTGTATTGGCCTTTTCTTATGGTGTTGTCTTTCCCAATTGTACAGCGCTGCGGAATAGGTTGGCGCTTTATAAATGCCTGTAATATAGTTAATGTCCCAAATATATTTAATTTGCTTCTGCTAACTTCTTCATATGTATATAAACATATCAGGAACTCCTTATGCACAGGAGACCAGCCAGCCATGTCAATCTTCGGCTGCACTTGTGTATGGGAACCTGATCTTCTACAGAGTATCACTTGAACTAGCCATTGGGCAAGCAATTAAGTTTAAATTTATCAGAGTACTTTTAGTAAATGCCTAAGTGTAAGTAATTCTGAAGTCTGAAGAATAATTGTAACATGAATCACTCATTTCAGTTCAAAGTTACATATGGATTTGGGGAAAAGCTTGAATACCAGACTATTAGGTAAACTTAGTAAGGGCATATGTTCAAAAACTCAATTGAAACAAGTCTACAGGGCGACATACTAAGATTGTGTGCTCTATTACTAGATAACCCAGGAGATAGTTGGCAAGGAAGCTTTATTACAACAGGTTGTCCAGTAGCCACATGTCTGAAATCAGAGCCTTTGTAAAGAAAAATGCAGCACTTTCATAAACCAACACATACAAATAAAGGACATAGTATGCAAATATACACTGCTAATGTTTCTCTCTCTGCGAACCACAGCAGTCACTATTAGACCAGCTAAGGCTGTCTGGGGAGATTTTCCTCTGGCACATGCGGCAAAACAACCCCAGTATGGTGTAAAAGGGGAAGTTGAAAGTCACAATGTGCATAGTATTGTACTTGCTATACAATGAGACCATATGTAAGACATTGTCAATTTAAGTCAGATTGTAGTCAGTGCTCCAGGCAGTTAAGAAAAGCTTTAATTGCACAAGACTTTGACAGATGCATTTCTCCATCTATAGTTGCCACAGAGGGAGATTCTCATTTTTCAGATAGGCCTCTTTCTCTCTGCAAACCAGCTCAGACTATTCAGGGAAACTCTGGCACATGTGACAAAGCCACCTAGTATCATGAAACAGTAGAAGCGCCAAGTCAGAGCGCACAGTATATTTAAATATATATTCTCTCTATCTCTATATCTATCAGAATCCAGCAATCTCATAAGAGCAAGCATTAGGCTGCTACTAGGATAGGACCTGCCGAATATGGGGTACTTTGATGTAGTTGGCAGGCTTATGCAATGTATGATCATATAATGTAACTAAACCCCCATTATTTTTTGCCTAGGTGAGGTGTTTTTAAATAACTATTACAATCTCTAAGATTTGAAATCATTGTTTAGTGAATAAGTAAGTGCACTGGATTCTGTATATTTTGGCCCCAGCAGCACCCTACAATGTATGCATGTTCAGGTGAGTTGAAGCCCTAGATTGATAAATCTAGATCAATATACACATTCTTACAGTGGAGAAGATCTTATCCATATGCTGATAGGTGGTTTACAGTTAATCTTCTGCGATTTTGCCATTTTGTAGAAGGTTAAAATCCATGTTTGCTACTTCAAGCTGCAAAGAACAAAGAAATGCAGTGTCAGTCCAGTCCAAAAAAGGTAAAAATCTAAACCGTGGTGTCAAAAGTCATTACGATCACTTAAGTGTCCAAAATAACTTAATAGCTTAATGAATCAGTTTTGGTGTATAGATCATTCCCATGCAGTCTCACTGCACAATTCTCTGCCATTAAGGAGTTAAGTCACTTTGTTTCTGTTTATGCAGCCCCAGCCACACAGCATGCGTGCATATATATTAAATATAAAAGTTTCATTTGGATGGAACTTTAAAAGTTTGTATCTTCTGCTCTGTAAATAAAACTGCAATTACATACAGGAGGCTTTACAGGAAGTGTTTAGAAAGGCTGTGCAAGTCACATGCAGGGAGGATGGCTTAGGGCTGCATACACAAAATGATGTAACTCCTAAATGGCAGATAACTGAGCAATGATACTACACAAACACTTAATTAAGCAAAGGTTATTTTGTGACAGTAGTGTCTAATTCAGAGATATTCAAAAGACTCATTACTGTAGTATGAATACAGTTCTGTGGCACAGTTTCCATAACAGTAAAAAGGAGGAAGATTGCTCCCCCTCCCCATTAGCTAGATAAATAACCTCCCACTGACTTCAGGGCTGTAATAGGTTAAATTAAGTCCTTAAAGATTTGTTTTAAAAGAATTGTCAAAGACAAAATTTGGATTCCTAATAGAAAAATCAACTTTATAAGTCTATATTACTCCTTATTTGTGTGCAACATTACTTATTCTTTTGAATTTCCTTTTTTCAAGAAGACTGTTACAAATTTAGTACTCTACTGCGCACATTTTATGAAGACGTAAATACTAAATTATGTAAAAATCTGCATTCCAATGTATCTCTCTCTGCGAACCAGAGCAGTATGAATGAGACCAGCTCTGGCTATTAAGGGAGACTTTCTCTGGCACACGTGACAGAGCCACCCAGTAAGGTGAAACTGGGAAAGCTGAAAGTCAGTGTGCACAGTATAAGAATACATAGATGAATTTTCTGGTGAAACAGACCTCATCCAGTCAATAGACATATTCCTGGTAATTTTCTCCGTGTCGGTCTGACATTGTGTGGCAGCTTAAACTCCAGGTTTGACATCACAAACTAAAGGAACAATTAGGAACAATATGTTAGTGAAGAAACAACCAAAGCTAAAATATCAAAAGCCATTTGTGTTATGACTGCATCAGGCCTATTTTTGAAGAGCACACAAGACGGTAAATCAGTAATATGAACATAGTGGTGTAATAAAATAGGGGATGCCAGACCCACTAGATACCTACCACTTAACTTCATGGCTATGATATGTAGAATAAGTTCTACAGTTGTGCTCTAACAACTTCCTTCCAACATTTAAAGGAACACTATATAGACACCTAAATAAAAGCAGTTTTAGTGTATAGATCATTCCCCTGCAATTTCACTGTCATTTAGGAGTTAAATCACTTTGTTTCTCTTTATGCAGCCCTAGCCACACCTCCCCTGGCTATGATTGACAGAGCCGGCATAAAAAAAAATAAAGAAAACTGGTTTCACTTTTAAACAGATGTATTTTACCTTAAATAATTGTATCTCAATCTCTAAATTGCACTTTAATCATATACAGGAGGCTCTTGCAGGGTCTAGCAAGCTATTAACATAGCAGGGGATAAGAAAATCTTAATTAAACAGAACTTGCAATTAAGAAAGCCTAAATAGGGCTCTCTTTACAGGAAGTGTTTATGGAAGCCTGTGCAAGTCACATGGAGGGAGGTGTGACTAGGGTTCATAGACAAAGGGATTTAACTCCTAAATGGCAGAGAATTGAGCAGTGAGGCTGCAGGGGCATGTTCTATACACCCAAACTGCTTCATTAAGCTTAAGTTGTTCAGGTGACTATATAGTGTCCCTTTAATTCACATCACCTTCCCCTTCTACTAATCTAACGGCTATCAAACTAGCATTCTACGTCACTGGTATGATCAACAACAGACGAAAAGAAATTGCCTCTTTATCCTCAGACTGTCTGGCATCCTCTACACAAAAAAAGTCTTCTCTAGTTTCTGAACTTCTACTTTATTCCTGTTCTTCTGTGTGACTCCTTAAACCCTCGATCTCACATCAGTGACAATTTAATCTTTTACTAGACTTATTCTCCCTCTTTCCTCTGGCATTTTTCCCCTTGTACTTCAAACACCCATACTACAAAGTCTTCTCTTGACCTAGATGCTTTGCTTAGCTATCCCTTTGCTTCCAAACTCCTTGAAATGCTTCCTTAAACATAGCATGGGTCACAAACTGATCCATACTCCTTACTTGACCCACTAGTGTGGCTTCCCCTCCCAACATTCCACTGCCCTGACCAAGGTAACTAATGACTGTCACAGTAAAATCTAGTGACGACTATTCGCTACTTAATGTTTCTGCAGCTTTCGACACAGTTGACTACTTGCTTCTCCTTCAAAACCTTAGTGTGTTTTCTTCCTGTAGGTCTAACCGCTCCTTTAAGGTCTTCTCTGGTTCCTACTCCCCTTCTGTACCTCTCAGTGTGAGTTCCTAAAGGTTCGGAGCTCTTTTTTCAATTTAGATTTCCTATCTTGGTGACATATCATCCCATGGCTTTCAATATCACTTCTACGCTGATTATATTCAGACTCCGCTTCTCTCATCTTTCTATCTGATGGAAGATCTCACCAGCTACCTATCTATTTCTGACTACATAACTACAAAAAAACAAAACAAACCTACTTGCCTGTCCTCCCTCTAAGGCTACATTTGGAAGGAAACTGGAGAGGGAGAAGAAGGAAACTGGAGAGGGAGAAGAAGGAAACTGGAGAGGGAGAAGAAGGAAACTGGAGAGGGAGAAGAAGGAAACTGGAGAGGGAGAAGAAGGAAACTGGAGAGGGAGAAGAAGGAAACTGGAGAGGGAGAAGAAGGAAACTGGAGAGGGAGAAGAAGGAAACTGGAGAGGGAGAAGGGGAGAGATTGACATCCATCACACACACACACACACAATGCACCCCTTGCACACAGAAAAACAATGCATTACACAGACACAAGCAATGCATCCCTTACACACACACTCAATGCATCCCTTACAGACGCACACACTGCATCCCATACATACACAAACTCACCTTGCAGCCCTTACACATACAAACACAGATTCACACAATGCATTCCTTACACACATCAAGACACCCCCCACACACACTCCACTCCCTGTGAACAAACTCATTGGTGGAACATGACCCAGACCTTGAGCTGTGTAAAGGGCCCTCAAAAAAAAAAAAAAAAAAAGGGAGCTGCTTCCCGTTCTCCCTGAACAGTGATTTTTGTGACCACCGTTACAAACCGCCTCCAGAGAGCCTGTTGTACACCAGACCAGTGGAGCCAGACGGCAGCTAGAGCCCATCATCCTCATCTGGTTGTAAGTAGGCCATCTAGTATATTATTCGTGGTACTAATCTCTAATTTACCTCACATTAAAGGGACACTGTAGTCCCCAGAACTACTGCAGCTTAATGTAGTGGTTCTGGTGTCTAGCCTGTCCCTGCAGGCCTTTTAATGTGAACACAGCGGCACTGCAGCACTGGTGTTAGTTAACATGGCAGATCATATGGGTGGGGCATTGTGATGTCACATGGGGGGCGGCAAACTTTACTTCTGCCTAGGGCGGCAAAAATCCTTGCACCGGCCCTGTGGGCAGATTGGGGGGGCGGCGGCAGCACTTTGGGCGGACCTGGGGTCCACTTGGGCTGTGTCAGGGGCCCCAACATTTCTGATGGCAGCCCTCTGCTCATCAGCCTGAAGCGTGCTCATATTGCCCCTCTATAGTACATAATGCATGCCTCTGCCAGCAGACTCTACACTGGCTGTTTCATTTGAAGATTCCCAATAACCACCAATAACCTGTTAGTAAACCATTTTCACACCCCAGACTCTGTGCTTCCCCAGGGCTGACCCTCCCTCCCTCTATGGAATGCCCTACCACACTCAACCATCCCTATAGTACAGTACAAGTTCTATACAAAACCTGCATTGTAATGTCTCTCTCTCTGCGAACCAGAGCAGTCACTATGAGACCAGCTCTGGCTATTTAGGGAGAGTCTCTCTGGCACATGTGACAGAGCCACCCAGTATGGTGAAACGGGAAGCTAAGAGTCACAATGTGCACTTTATAAAGTTACAGAGATGTACTTACTGTAGAGAAAGTCATGTTTGATACCACAAACTGTAAGGAAGAAAAAGGCATGGTCAGTCAAGAAACAAGCAAAGCAAAAAATACAATTTGTGTCACATGAATGTATCATGCCGGATTTCAAGTTATTTAGAAATTGCTCTTTTGCATACACTTTCCATAACTAGTTCTTAGCAAAATGGGTATAGATAACCCCATTAGTAACAGGCAGAAAAAATAAGTAAATAAAAATCCATAAGAATTGTGAATGCACCTTTATCCCAAAAATAGTCATTTGCCTTGTTTTGTGAATGTAATGTTAAAAAAAAAAATTTTTTTAGAAAGAGTAAGTGGTGGAAACCGATCATTTTGGTGTATTACAGGAAGAAAGAAAAAAAAGTCACATTGATGAATGTGGAACAACAGTTCCATACCCAATAGTTTGCAAGTACATGATGGCCCATAAGCCCCTACCCATGCATAAGATATATAGATGGTAGGGACTTATAGGCCACCGTGTACACAAGGCTGATGCAAACATGAAAACAAAGGCAACATTGTTTAAATAACCACTACAGATTTCAGGGCTAATATAGGTTTACTATATACACTTTATAATGGTCAGCAGTAAAATGGAGTTTCCTACGCATAATAGAATCATCAACATTTATATAGCGCCAACAGATTCCGTGGCGCTTTACACACACGGCTGCAAATACTGCACTAAATATAACTCAGCAGAATATGTTGTCATTCTGCTAACGATTATTAACAACTACTCTAATAAACATATTCCAAGTCATTACATACAGGATTATCCAATTTAACTGCAGTCAGTGCAACCTAGATAGTAACACATTATTCAGAATTTATACAAAAGGGTTGGCAACAGATGTCATTAAGGTGCGAATTATTATATTAATAAGCATTTCCAATTGAATCAAACAGCTATTTAATTCCACTGCGATCACACGCTGTATAACGTGTGGTGCCTATTGCTAATGTACCATTCCTGTAAATCTATTTCCTTATAAAGTAACCGATACCATGTTTTTTAAATATCTGTAATAAAGTATTCCCATTAAGCTAGCTGTGAGACACGCGCTGAAAATAAAACTATCTCCTGAAACATACCAACTAGAACCAGTCCTCCCTGAGCGAGCAGACCGATCCAGCTCCACGTGTGTCTTCTGGCTAGAGCGAAAAACTGCAGAGCCTTAAGTAGGCGCTGAATACGCATTCCCGCTCTAGTGTAGCGCACTCTATAGAGCGGCCATTTCATCAGAAGCCGGATACTTTGCTGCTCATAACAATATCCAACAAAATGGCTCCTCCAGCGAGGCAAAGCTGTGTGCAGCTTGTAAAGCCTGTTTAAGGGGGGCGGGGAGGGGTCGTATTTTTTTTTAATTTTTTTTTTTTACGATTATTGGAATCAAGTACTGCAAATCGACAACAGAGTAATTACTGCGATGAAAGATAAATCCTTTCTATAGCATGCCTGTAAAGAAACAGCACGGTTAGCCAGCCATTAGTTTAGCATGCTAGCTTTCTGTGGAATCCTCTTCCCTAAAACTGCAGGAGATTGCTTATTGTAAACTCACTTGTAAATTAACACACTGATACATTTTAGATGTTGTAATTGTGAGAGTAGAATTAAAGGGACACCCAGACCACTTCAGCTCATTGAAATGATCTGGGAGCAGATTACAATTTTTAAGAAAGCCACCATAGGCGGTTCTAGGATTTTACCAGTCTTTACCCACACATAATATATACAGTTTTTCTCGCCATTAAATGGTCTTCCTAAAGATACCATTATTTTCATCATACGATAAAAAAATTATAAAATATAATGAAAAATAAAAAAAACCACTAACTTTGACCCTCAAAATCTGTTGCGCATCTACAACTGCCAAAAAACACCAGTGCTAAATAGTTTCAAAATGTTGTCCTGAGTTTAGAAATACCCAATGTTAACATGTTCTTAGCTATTTTTTGCAAGTTATAGGGCAATAAGTACAAGTAGCACGTTGCTATGTCCAAAACATTTGATTTCAAAATTAATGAAAGTTACACTGTAAGCCATCACATGCATATATTTTTTTAAAGAAGACCAGTGTAATTTACCCACATTCAAACCATATATTTTTGAAAAGTAGACACCCTAGGGCAGTGATGGCCTCTCTGTGGGCACGCGGCCATAGGTCGCCGGGAGAGGGGGCTGCTGGCTGTCTGCAGAGTAGGCACCTGCCTGCCCAAAACGGCAGGCGCCTACTCTGCTTCCGTGTCGGGAGGACAGGGGGAGGGCTCTAGGAAGCAGCTCTCCTCCGCGATGCTGTGTGGAGCGTTGCCACGTGTTTCCAAGGGCAACGCTCCACACAGCATCGTGCAGGACGACAGGAGAGCTGCTCCTTACAGTACTTACCACCACCACCGGACCACAGGGATGGCTGTGTCACCCCCCCTCCTTCACCAAAGGTGGGAGGGAGGGGGGGGGGCATACAGAATTAATATATCCTTTTTTTTTTTTAAATGTATCTGTACCCCTACCCCCCACAGCACAGCACACCTCACCTACCCCCAACAGTACCCCTTCCCCCCACACACAGCACACCTACCACCTGCACACAGCACCCCTACCCCCACAGGACCCCTACCCCCACAGCACCCCCACCACCGACACACAGAATCCCTACCCGCCCCACACACAGCACCCCTTCCCCCCCACACACACAGCACCCCTTCTCCCCCACACACAGCATCCCTTCTCCGCACACACAGCACCTCTTCCCCACACACACACAGCACCCCTTCCCCGCACACACAGCACACCTTCCGCGCACACACACAGAACCCCTACCCCCCCACAAACAGCACCGCTCAGACACACACAGCACTCCACACCCTTACACACAAACACATACACTGCACCCCTCAATGCAGTATGTGTGTGTATTCAGCAGACTGTATGTATTCAGCAGTCTGTATGTGTGTGTGTATTCACAGTCTGTGTGTGTGTGTATGTATTCAGCAGACTGTGTGTACTCAGCAGTGTGTGTATTCAGCAGTCTTTGTGGGTGTATTCAACAGTGTATGTATTCAGCAGTCTGTGTGTGTATTCAGCAGTCTGTCTGTGTGTGTGTATTCAGCAATGTATGTATTCAGCAGTCTGTGTGTGTGTGTATTCAGCAGTCTGTCTGTCTGTGTATTCAGCAGTCTGTCTGTGTGTGTATTCAGCAGTGTAAGTATTCAGCAGTCTGTGTGTGTGTACTCAGCAGTCTGTGTGTGTGTATTCACCAGTGTATGTATTCAGCAGACTGTGTGTGTATGTACTCAGCAGTCTGTGTGTACTCAGCAGTCTGTCTGTATGTGTATTCAGCGGACTGTGTGTGTATTTAGCGGACTGCGTGTGTATGTATCTAGCGGACTGCGTTTGTATGTATTTAGCGGACTGTGTGTGTATGTCTTTAGCAGCTGGTGTGTGTATGTATTAAGCAGTCGGTGTGTGAATGTGTTGCATTTGTTGGAGATACTAATAAATATAAGCTTAATTTTATCTGTTTATATCATTATTTAAAATTTGTATCATTGAACTCTCTTTTGTGTTCTTCTTTTAAAACAAAAGTTGTTAATTAGTTCGGACAACTGTATGAGTTGTTTCTTCTAAACTTAAACCTCAGTAATCAGGTTTAATTGCCGTGTTGGCACTTTGAGGAAAAAAAAGTTGGCATGTATTGCGGTTTGGGCACTCGTGCTCCAAAAGGTTCGCCATCACTGCCCTAGGGTATATCAAATGGTGGTATTTTAACACTTTCCATGCACTTATTCTGCCACCAGTCTTTGTTAAACTTTTGGGTAGTCGTTTTTTTTTTTGTTATTTTTCTCTCACATTGTTGAAAAAGTAGACAACCATGTCTGTCCAATCTTTTGTAGTAGCCGCAAACACTTGCCAAAGTTGGCGCTCATATTTGTTTTTTGCATTTTTTTTACACAAAAACTGCACTTTTACTGGTGATATCATCGTCGTGATAGGTTTTAAATTTTAAAAACACTCATATTTGTGTTCAGCAAAGTCTCCCAAGCATAAAAATACCCCCCATGTACAGGTTTTATGGTGTTTTGGAAAGTTACAGGGTCAATATAGGGCTTGCCCAATTCAGTTTGCTAGATTGGTTTGCTGGGTCTATGTTGCCTTTTGAGACCATATGGTCACTGGCGTACATACCAGGGTCGCAGGGGTCGCGGCTGCGACCGGGCCCGGCCCACCAGGGGGCCCGGCCGCCCCTGCGACCCGGTATGTACGCCACAGGGCCAGGAGCCCAGGAGTTTAATCACCCTGGTGGGAAGTCCCCGAAGCTGGCTCTGGAAGGATAGCCTGTAGTGGGAGCGTTAGGGAGCATTTCAGTGCTTCTTCTCAAGACCGCATCGATACCGGAGCCGGAAGATGACGCTATCTTCCTCGGCGCTCGGCATCCTCACGCCAGGGCGCCAGCGGAGGAGCTGGAAGAGGAAGTACTGAGGCTCCCTCGCCGCTCTCGCCTGCCTGCCCGACCGCCACCCGCCTAGGGAGCCCAGCAGCACCACCACCACTGTATTCCTCAGAACTCTGCAGCACTCCAAAAGGTAAGGAGGCTGGGGGATTACATTTAAAAAAAAAAAAAAAAAAAAAAAGTGTTAGTGCTTGAGTGTGTAAATTGCTAGTGTGTGTTAGAGTGAGTGTTAGAGTGAGTGTTAGTGTGTGTGTCTGCTAGTGAGTGTTAGTGTGTGTGTTAGAGTGAGTGTTAGAGGGAGTGTTAGTGTGTGTGTTAGAGTGAGTGTTAGTGTGTGTGTCTGCTAGTGAGTGTTAGTGTGAGTGTTAGAGTGAGTGTGTGTGTGTCTGCTAGTGAGTGTTAGTGTGAGTGTTAGAGTGAGTGTGTGTGTGTCTGCTAGTGAGTGTTAGAGTGAGTGTGTGTCTGCTAGTGAGTGTTAGAGTGAGTGTTAGAGTGAGTGTTAGAGTGAGTGTCTGCTAGTGAGTGTCACTGAGTGTGTGTGTGTGTGTGTTAATGAGTCTGTTTGATGTCTGTTAGTGAGTGTGTGTTTTGTAAGTGAGTGTGTATGTATGTCTGTCGCTGACTGTGTCTCTGTCAGTAAATGTGTGTGTCTTCAGCACTTACCTTTCTCCAGCGCCGGACTCCCTTGGCGCTGAGGATCCCTCAGTCTCTCAGCTCCGAATGCGACCGCGCACGCATTCAAACCGCCCATAGGAAAGCATTACTCAATGCTTTCCTATGGACGTTCAGTGTGCTCCTCTAGCTGCTGTCAGTGAGACAGCCACTAGAGGCTGGATTAACCCTCAGTGAAACATAGCAGTTTCTCTGAAACTGCTATGTTTTCAGCTGCAGGGTTAAAACTAGAGGGACCTGACAACTTCATTGAGCTAAAGTGATCTGGGTGTCTGTAGTTGTCTTAAAGAGGATTATAGTGCCAGGAAAACATACCAAGCCTCCTGGTGACTATATAGTGCCCTGAGGGTGCCCCCACCCTCAGGGACCCCCTCCCGCCCGGCTCTGGAAAGGGGAAAAGGGGTAAAACTTACCTTTTTCCAGTGCTGGACGGAGAGCTCTCCTCCTCCGATCCTCCTCTTCTCCTCCCCGTTGGCTGTATGCGCACGCGCGGCTAGAGCTGCGCGCGCATTCAGCCGGTCACATAGGAAAGCATTCATAATGCTTTCCTATGGATGCTGGCGTGCTCTCACTGTGAAAATCAATGAGACAGCCGCTAGAGAAAATAGGGGAAGGCTTAACCCATTCATAAACATATGTTTATGAAAAAATGGGTTAACCCTAGCTGGACCTGGCACCCAGACCACTTCATTAAGCTGAAGTGGTCTGGGTGCCTAGAGTGGTCCTTTAAGTGTGTGTGCATCTGCATGCACTGGCGTGCATACCGCGGTCGCAGGGGTCGCAGCCCTGTAACCCCTGCGACCAGGTGCCCACCGCCATGTGTTGCGGCCCGGCCCGCGCGCGCGGTGGGGGGGCCACAGATCAATTTTCGCACCGGGGCCCCATGGGTCAGGTGTACGCCACTGCATATGGTAGCCCAGCAATGCGAATTAACCTCAACATGGCATACCATTTTCAAATGTAGACAACCCAGGGTATTCAAAATGGGATATTTCCAGTCTTTTATAGTAGCCACTTAGTCACAAATGCGGGC